TTTCTAACCCTAATACTCAAAGAACAAGAAAATAAACAGAAAGGAAAACAAAGAGCAAGTAGAAGGAAAGAAATAGTGATGGTCAGAGCAGAAAAAAAATGACATAGAAAGTAAAAAAAAAAAAACAATTCAAAAGATGAAGAAACAAAGAGCTGGTTCTTTGACAAGATAAACAAGATTGATGAACCCTTAGCCAGACTCACCAAGAAACAAAAAGAGAAGACCCAAATAAAATCAGAAACAAAAGAGGAGAAGTCACAATTGACATCACAGAAATACAAAGGACTGTTAAAACATACTATGAATAATTATATGCCAACAAATTGGACAATCTAGGCAAATTGGACAAATTTCTAGAAACACAGTCTCCCAAAACTGAATCGGGAAGAGATAGAAAACTTGAACAGACCACTAACAACAAAGGAAATTGAAGATGTAATTAAGAAACTCCCACCCTGGTCAGTTTGGCTCAGCAGTTAGAGCATTGGCCCACGATTCAGAGAGACCAGGGTTTGGTTCCCACTAAAGGCACGTACCTCGGTTGCAGTTTGTCCCAGGACCCAGTTGGGGTCATGTGTGTGGCAACCAGTAGATGTGTCTATCTCACATTGATGTTTCTCTCTCTCTCTGCCTCCTGCTCTGTCTGAAGATGGATGCAAAAATGTCCTCGGGAGAGACTAAAAAAAGAAACTCCCAGCAAACAAAAGCCCAGGCCAGATGGCTTCACGGGGGAGTTTTACCGAATATTTAAAAAAGATCTAATACCCATTCTCCTCAAACTATTCCAAAAAATCCAAGACGGAATGCTTTCAAACTCATTTTACGAGGCCAGCATAATCCTAATTCCAAAACTGGATAAAGACACTACAAAGAAAGAAAACTACAGTCTAATATCCCTGATGAACACAGATGACAAAATCCTTACCAAAATATTAGTAAATTGAATCCAGCAATACATAAAAAAAAAAAAATTATTCACCATGACCAAGTGGGATTTATCCCAGGGATGCAAGGATGGTACAATATTTGCAAATCAATAAATGTGATACACCACATAAACAAAATGAAAATAATACCATATGACCATATCAATAGACACTGAAAAAGCATTAGACAAAATTCAGCACCCATTTTGATAACAATGCTCAGCAATGTGGGAGTAGAGGGATCATATCTTGACATAATAAAGGCGATATATGAAAAACCCACTGTATGGGAGAGCATAATTGCCAATGATATATCAGACAAGGGGTTAATTTCCAATATATATAGAGTGCTCATACAACTCAACAAAAGGAAGACAAAGAACCCAATTTAAAAATGGGCAGAGGAACTAAATAGACACCTCTTCAAACAGGACATACAAATGGCTAAGAGACATATGAAGAAATGCTCAACATCACTAATCATCAGAGAGATGCAAATTAAAACAACAATGAGGTATCACCTCACACCTGTCAGAATGGCCACCATCAACAAATCATTAAACAACAAGTGTTGGCGAGGGTGTGGAGAAAAGAGGACTCTAGTACACTGCTAGTGGGAATGCAGACTGGTGCAGCCACTGTGGAAAACAATATGGTGTTTTCTCAAAAACTTAAAAGTTGAATTGCCATTTGACCCAGTGATCCCACTTTAGGAATATATCATAAGAAACCTGAAACACCAATCAGAAAGAATACATGTTCCCTTATGTTCAGAGCAGCACTATTTACAATCGCTAAGATCTGGAAACAGCCCAAGTGCCCATCAGTAGACGAGTGGATAAAAGGTCTGTGGTACATATAAACAATGGAATACTATGCAGCTGTAAGAAAGAAAGATCTCTTATACTTTGAGAAGACATGGAGGGACCAAAGAACTTACATGTATGTATGTGTAACCAGTGGACATAGACAACAATGCTTGTTGAGGGGCAGGATAGGGAGGATGGTATCTTCAGGGCGGTGGGATGGGGGGGGGGCATCTGTAACAAAAATAAATAAATTAATTTAAAAATTCGGGTTATTTATACCACAATATGCTTTCAGTTAAAAAAAAATAAAGCAAATATACATGTTTAACATTATTTAGATATCGCTACAGCTTTTGGTGATTGTAAACAGATTTGGTTTAATTTTTAGGAACACACTGAATAAAATAAAGTGGAAAACCCATGACCATCTGATGACTTTAAACTTTTTAAACCTTCATAGTTGACCCCACCCCCAATTCCATTAGAAATTTTAATTTTTTTATTAAAGTATTTTTTGAAAAATTAAACTTTTAAGGGTAAAGTTATCAATCGGGTAATCACAAACCATTTGAATAGCCTGCTGTTAGGTTCTAAAGTAACAGGTACAAAGGATTCATAGTGATTTTTTTATTGGGATATTTTCCTTTCTCACTAAGTCTGTTTGCTGGTTTTAGTTACCTAACATCAAGATGTTTTCTATAGGTAAGACTTCTATGAGAACATAATCTATTGACAGTGGCAAATTGTCCCCCTGGGTATATTGACTTTATTTTTACAAGAAATAAAACTGTTTTCAATTTGTTAGCCATGCTGTTAGGTCTTATTTAAATGACAAAAATAACACTATAATTTGACTCAAATGCTATATGGATTAAATCATACAATGTATGTAAAGAAAATATGAGCATTTGTATTATCTTGCATAGGTACAGGTACTGCTAGGCATATAACAAAGGAAGAAATCACAAAAGGAAATGTTGCTATATTTGAGTACATAAAAATGTTGATCGTGACATAAATGGTAAATAAAGGTGTAATACCCAAAATTTATAAAGATTGCTTACAAATCAATAAAAAAGAAACTTGAATAGAAAAATGGACAGAGTGTCAGTGGAAAATTCACACAGACAAGAGAAGCAAATATATAGTCAGTAAATATATATGAAAAATTATTCGATGTTACTAGTTATAAAAATACATTTAAAAATGCTAATAATATAACATTTTTTTCTTCTACCTAAATGGCAAATATTTAAAGTATTATATTCTAGAATCCCTTAAAATAGTACCATAAACTGTTGGTAACAATTGATATAAAAATTTTGGACGGAATTTATGCAGTATTCATCAAAACTTTAAAAATACTTACACCATGTGATTCAATGATTTCAATCCTAGAAAGACCTCATAGAAAATTAAAAGAATATGTGTGCACAGAATATGTACCAAGGGCATTCGTTCTAGAATTATTTATAACATTAAATATTTGAGAAACAATGCCTAATATACAATAGTAAAGTACGTATTTCCTAACAGAATATATTATATGGTTGTTAATGCTGTGTTGTCAGTGACTTTAAGAATTGAAAAATTATTTCTGTTGCTAAAGAAAAAAATGAAAGCGAGTTACAGATTGTAATTCAGGTTTTCAGTGCACACACATTTAAATAATTTTTTAAATATGTTTTTTTCTTTTTTTTAAAAAAAATTTTTAAATGGATTTTAGAGAGAGAGGAAGGGAGAGGGAGAGAGAGATAGACACATCTATGAGAGAGAACAAGAACTGGCAGCCTCCTGCATGCCCCCCACAGGGGATTGGGCCCACAGCCTGGGCATGTGCTCTGACCAGGAATCAAACCGGGGACTTCTTGGTGCATGGGTGACACTCAGCCAGCGAGCCACACTGGCTGGGAATGTGCCCACACATGTAAAAGACAAGGAGGAAAATTCCACAAGATGCTACTACCATTAATAGTGTCACCTCTGGGCAGTGGAATCCCAAAACTTTATATTCTTCCTGATACTCCTGAATATTTTCCAAAATGTTTACAACAAATGTGCATTATTGTCATAATCAGAACACACACCAGAGAGGAAGGGTAAAACTTTTTTTCATGTTTCATGCAGAAATGTTCATTAAAAGGACTTTAGAAACAGTGCCACAGACAAATTCAAGTCAACTTATATTTTGTCTGGCAGGTAGATTTCTCCAGGTACTCAATTATCAGAAATTTGAGTGCTCCATTTGAACAACAGGATAACTCAGCCATTCACAGCATTTTAGACTAAGTGGAGACCCTTGAGATCCACAACAATGAGGGAAGGCATCATGTCCATCTTGTTTACCGCTTGATGCCCACCCACCACTCAGTTCAGTATGTTTTTGAATGAAAGAAAAAATGAAGACCACCCCAGTCATTGTACAGATGGAGAAACTGCTTCCTCCAGAAACAAAAGGGCTTAATTGCCTAAGGTTATTCCCATAAAATAACCACTACTACCAAATATACCACACCTACTGCTTGCCAGGCACTCTTCAAATGCTTTATGTACATCAATTTATTTAATCCTTTTAACAACCCTAAGGATTAGCTGTTGTTCTGATTTTCATCAAATAGGTGGGAAAACTGAGCCATGAACCGCGTCTATATTTCATTACCTTTTCTTTCTCGCCATTTCACACAAACCCTAATCACCTAAAAATTCGACATGAGGCTAGCTAGTTTGGGTTCTTACAGAGGGATTTTTCTAGGGTGCATCTGTGTATGTTTGTGTGAGATGCGAGAAGTAGAGAGATTTTAAAGACCCGCCGCAGGAAAACAATGTCTTGATGTCCTGTATTTTACTCTGGCTCAGCCTGGAGCGCCCTCCTGGTGGGCCTCGGGGACTGAGGATCAGACACTCCACCGGAGACCCCGGCCTCTCGTCCTCTACAGCGTAAAGGTCCCCGGCGGCCGCGCAGCCCCTTAGGAACCGCTTGGCTGGACCTTAGCCCCCGCCCACGCCACCTGCTCCCGGGATCCGCGTCTCCGCCCCGCATCCCGCCCCCGCGCTGCGCCGCGCCCCGCAGTCCCTCCCTCCGGCGTGACGGGAGCACCGGCGCCTGCTGCCGGGGCCGGGAGCGCAGCCGAGCTGTCAGCGGGAGGACCCACAGGGAGCGAGAGAGTGGCGAGCGGAGCGCGCAGCCTTCGCGGCCCGGGAGCCTGAGCGCGCCCCACTCGGGGAAGCTGCCTTCCTCCGTCCTGCTGACCTCAGCCGGACAGAGATGCTGCTCCGCATCCCCGGGCCGGCGCGCGGGAGGGGCCGGGGCCGGCCGCCGGGGGCTCCCAGCTGCGGGCTCTCGCCGCCCTGGAGCCCCGCCTGGCTTTGCTGCCTGGTGCTCGCGGGCAGCCCGGCGGCCTGGGCTAGGGACCTGCCCTCCTCCAGCCGCCCGCTTCCTCCTTGCCTGGAGGTAAGCCGCACCTGGTCCTTTACCTGGAGTGGGCGGGGGAGGGGGTGGTGCCTGTTTATCGCCCTCTGTCATTGCCCCCTTCCTTCCTGGGAGGACAGGGGTTTTCGTTTGTCTCAAGGGGTGAAGTTGCCCGCCCCGGGAAGCTGGCTGACTGAGAGTGTGTGGTTTGGCTGGCTTTCGGGTGATGCTTTTCTGTTCGCGCTCTTGTGTCTTGAGGGCTCCGAAGGACTTTGCGACGCCCTCTTTGGAGTGTCAGGCTTGAGGATCTGGGGCCGAGGGTGATTTCAGCAAGGAGAGGAGACTGGGGAAGCCCCGCGAGTGGGATTTGGAGACCCGTCTCTTCACAGCTTTTCCAGGGAGCCAGATACTGCCACCGGAGGGTTTCCCGCTCCTCCTCTCCTCCCTCCACTCCTTGGTTTCTACAAACCCTTTCTTCTGACTCCCCTGCACTCCCGCTTCCTGATAAGGCCCTGGGGGTTTGCTAGACCAGTGTGTGGTGTCACTTGGCATCCTTCTGGCAAAATATGGATATGTATTGGGAAGGAAAAAGGAGTGTGTACTTAGGGAAGAAGCGGGTTGGTGATCTAGAAAATTAGAAAAGACAATGCATATGCCCCCTTTGAGAGGTGTTCATCACCTGGTTGAAACATTGCCCCTGTGTATTTTATTGCTTGAGATTATTGTCGATAATAAATTATGGGTGATGAGATTTTCTCCTGCTTTTAGGGTAACTGGACTTGGTGTGCCAAAAATTTACAGGGGTGTCATTGGTACTTGTATTGGGTGTTTATCTTTCTCTTTAGTGTTCCAGAAAGTGCATCCTCTTAATGAAAATCAATAAGGGGAAGGAAGAAACATTTCTGACCTACTTTGAGTGATTATGTTGGGGAGGATATGAGGAGTGGATACTGTTTTTAGAAAGATTGCTAGGAATCAGGGTGATGGGTCATTTTCATTTATGTAGCAAAAATAGCTTAGTTAATAGCCCCTCTGGGAGGAAAGGCCAGACCCTATTTCTTTGTATATAATGCTGTCACTTTTGAGTTTTACCCAGGCTTGGATTATAGAATATCTGCATTCTAGACACTGTCCATCATCCATAGATTTCATCTTCCTCTCCCACAGTACAAGTCCCAGGACAGACTAAAATGAAGGAGAAGAAATCAAGGAATGTGTTCTAGCACACAGTAGTGTTGACATTGGGGCAGTTAGGGCAAGATCTCAGCAAACAGCTGTGTTTAATTTCTGAGTTTATGAGTATAATTAGTTGTCTCATCTGTATTTTTCAACTTGACCTATCACCTGGGAATAATCCATTCTTCCAGGTTTCTACAGAAAGCTGCTACTTGGTCATTCTTGGATCCAATAGTTGCAGCAGGACAGACTTGAAACCTTGCCTTCAGCCCTCAGTCCCAACATGCAGAACATATTTCTTTTCTGAAGTGAGAAGTCTTAAGCTTCTTGTAACATTAATTCTTAGTAATGAAGAATCCACTTGAAATGGGTGAAAGTCAGCCAGTGGAGGTGATGCTTTTGGTCACCAGAACTAGGCAGATCCTTTAGATAAGCATGTTTTGTACATGCACAGCTAGAAAGAATGGAGTAAGAGTCTGCAACCTAAGACAGAAATATTGCAATGAGAGGCAGGGAGATGACAAAAGGTTTGGGAAGGCTGTGTCCAGCTAGAAATTGCATGTGACTCAATCCCTTGCGGTTCCAAGTTTGAATTTCTCTCAGAAATTGGGAATAAATTAATTAAATAGGAGGATTCCATTGAGCCTGCTTGGCGTTGGTTGAGTTTTCAGAAATGACCACAGATCCATTTATATTCTTCCTGATGACTGAGAGACAACTGTAAGATGATTGACTGGGAGTGATAGGTTCCTTTGGAAATAGTAGAGGCCAAGTAGTCTCTCAGGAGCTTTTCGACATTTGGTCTAATCAGCTCAGCTAATTTATAGAGTTGATCATTATTTCTCTGACATTGTTTTTTAGAGGAAAGTGAGAAGGGCAGGTGCTTTTCCAGCTTTGAGGTTAAGGGTCTGCTTGTGCATATGGATAAGGAGGGTACTTCCTTTGAGATGGAGCTATTGAAATGTGGGCCAAACTCCTGTGAACAAGGACAAAGTAACTATTTTGTGTCCACTCCTGCTTGTTTATCTTTGTTCTCTCTTTAGTAGGAAAGGAGGTAAATGCCAGTGTAAGGGAGAGTACCATGTGGTGGTGGTGCGATGGAGTGGGGGAGGGATGAGAGCAGTTCAAGTGAGGGGCTTTGAAGCTGGGAACTAAAGCCAAGTGAACAATATGAGAGAATATTGAAGCAGATTATGGAAAACTCTGTAGGTAATTATAAACCTCATTCCCCCCCCAGTAGTTTGAGTCTCCCTTCACTTATCAGTGTTTTTAGAAGAGTAGTCATGGCTAAGTTACATAGACTCTCATTTTCCTCGCCTGGTTTTAGAAGAAGGCAATGAAAAGAAAAGGATTTTCAGCGCAGAAAATTGGCCTGGGAGCAATCGGGTTATGATTGCTTGAGTTCAGGGAAAAAAAAAAATGCCTTTCAAAAAGACAACTAGGTTTTGGGTAAAGTTTCACTTAGATTTTTGCAGAGGATTGGACTCTGGGGTAAAACATAAAATGCAGCTTCCTTTGTCAAAGTCATTGGATTATGGAGTTGAAAAGGGGAGAAAAATGATTACGTTGGACTGCTCAGCTGGATCAGATCAACAGGGTGGAGGCATCAGCACACACAGGAAGGCTGTCCTTTGGGAGAAAAATTAACAGTGCCAGCAGCAGAAGGACAACAATAGGATGTGACTGTGGTAGATCATGTTTAAAGAAAGAAAGAAGAAAAAAAAAAAAGATGAGGGCTGGACATCAGAAAGTACAGAATTAATATTCTTTAGGCTTTTTTATTTTTTTAATGGGAGAACTTTTAAAGGATAGATATCATCAAGGTTCCTTAGCATCTGTTTTTCACTTGTAAAATGATAGTAATTAAAAACTGACCTGCTTATCTTTATTGTGAGGATGAGATAAGATTAATATAAGTTACAAGAAAAAAAAACTCTATATAAATTCGAGAGTTGATTATTGCTAGATGAGGAGACCTAGATCCTGACTGATATTTCAGGAAGGGTCCAGTGAGACTTCGGAGGGTCAGAGGACAGGCTGGTCTAAGAACTGAAAGGGATGGAGTTTTTGACTCTGAGTAATAGCACTTAATGGGTCTGCCTGAGAAAAAAAGATAAAGGCCAACAGATGATTCCGAGTTGGAGTAAGGTATTAGAAGTTAGAATGTATAAGAGTAGAAAGAACAGAACTAAGTGGATTATGTGTATATCATTTAAATTTGGAAAATTGAATTACAAAGTAGCTTGATTCTTAGTTTGTTGCTCTAAAATCCTACATAATATGATTCCCCTGGTCTCTCTCTGTCTTGAACGAATGATAACTCTTTGGCAATAGCGTTTATTCCATAAACATTTATTGAGCTTTTACTATGTGTCAGACAAAATGTTAGATGGTGTGAAATTACAAATTAAAAAAAAGTTAATTGGATAAGGGGCAGGTATGTAAACAATGACAATGAAGTAATTTGGTGTCATGAGAGGAGAAAGGGGCCATCAAATCTAGTGGGGAGGATCAGAAAAGGCCCTATAGAAGAAGAGGATGAGACTTGAAAGATGAATAGGACTTTGTCGGCTAGTTTGGGGAGGAAGACGTTTTTGGTGTAGAGCACATTGAAAAGGAGCAGAAACACAAAACAACATTGTTATCATTGGTTATAACTGGAGTACTATGTGCTGTGAGGATGAGTCTGAGAGATGAGTCTGAGCGGAGGGCAGAAGCCTGAATATAAGGGACTGGATATTATGCTAAGAAGCTGGTCTTCATTTGCTAGGAGGTGGGGAGCAATAGAAGGATTTATAAATCAGAAGTAATAAAATGTGCTTTAGTTTGACAACAATACGGAGGCCACATTAGAGGGGTGGGAAATACAATTGTTAGGAGCAGTAGTAATAGTTCAGCTAAAGGTTGACAGGTTCAATTAAGGAATAGCAATGAAGATGGAAAAGGGGGCAGGACGTTAGATAGAATTGACAGTAAGTGGATGTGGAGGGTGAGGCGATGAAAGGTTCCAGCTTGATAAGAGAGAGGATGGTGCCTCTCTCTAAGGAGGAGGAATGTGAGGAAAAGGAGATAGGGAGCTTGGTTCAGGAGAGGTTGACTTTCAGAGAGTTGTTCAGTAGGTAGTTGGGTCTCAGGCCCTTGTTGCTCAGGGGCATGGTCTGGGGTGGTGTAGAGATATGGGAAGCACTTGAATGAAAGGTATGGTTGAAACTGCTGGATTGGATGAGATCATTCAGGAAGTGAGAACAAAGAGGATGAAAGATAGGACTTGGGTTTTACCAACAATGGGGTGAGGAGGAGGCAGAAATGGAGGAATCCACAAAGACATGTAAGTAATGGCTAGTATATGAAGAAGAAAGGGGTGATTGTGGTTTCAGTTACCCAAAGAAATTCAAATAAGATGAGGACCAAAAAAGGAAAATTGAATTTGACAGTTAGGTCCCCGGTGCTCAGAGCCATAGTGGTTCTTGTGGAGTGTTGGGGATGGGTTGAGTATTAACTGGGAGATGAGGCAGTGGTGATAGAATATAATTTTATTGTATGGCCTTTCTAGATTTGGTAAGAAATTGTGTCTTCCAAGTTTACATAAATCAGAGAACTTGTAAATGGCCTTGCTGTCTGTTTCAGACTTTGATTGGAACAGTTGAGAAATATCTTTTTTTGCAGGAAGTCCCTGAGGTCATGGGCTGTGGGTGAGGGTGTTAGACATTCTAAAGCCACATGAAGGGGTGAGGGCTCTGCCTCTGTTTTCAAGGAGTTAACATAATAAATCTTGCCTGTTATGCTTGTGGACATGAATTTTCCATTTCAAGTTATGCCCAGAACCATTTCTCATGTTTTAGGCAAATGTGAGCAAGTATTCACAC